TATGTTCAGGAAATACAAATCATGTGTTCAATGCATTATAAATGTCATAGCTCAATAACCATAATGATCATGATGCAATGAAATGTTGAAATATTCACAATAGTTTGAAAAAATAAATTCATGATATAAACAGCGGCATGGGAACTCTTAAAGCAAGCAATATAACTTTAACTATGCATTGAATAGGGATAAGACATGCTAACACTGAAAACTCAAAATGAAAATAAAACAAAACTTGCATTAAATTTTAAGGAAAGTTTTTTATTGTTGTTTTTTTTACTGAAATTCAATATTAAAATAAAGAGTTACTAGCATTAAAATTATCCTTTGATGCAAAATAAAATGTTTGAAACTTTGAAAACTACAGAAAATAATACAAGTTTGTAAACAAAATATAATTATTACATACAATATATACATATTGAACATATGTAAATTATTGTATGGTTATATGTAATAGAATTACATTTTTCATGTACAATTTAGTGCCTGTATAATGTATTAAAAGAGCTCCACTGACATCAAAAATTAAACTAGAAATGTGTCCATAGGACACGGATGCCCCCACACGCCACTGTTCTGTCAATCTTATGACTCTAAGGTCAAATATTTTTTGGACTACATGTGCCACAAGTTGAAAACTAAAAATCAACAAAGGGCCATAATTCTGTTAAATTTGGTCGCAGCAAAAATTTCTTCCTTTACTACCATCTACACATTAAGGTTGTTCATCCCTGGAAGTATAAGCAAAATCTGCCATCCGGTTTAAGAGGAGTTGCGTTCACAAAATTTCTACATAGTATATAGTGAAAAAATCAACAAAGGGCCATAATTCTTTTAAATTTGGTCGCAGCAAAAATTCCTTCCTTTACTACCATCTACTCATTAAGGTTGTTTATCCCTGGAAGTTTACGCAAAATCTGCCATCCGGTTTAAGAGGAGTTGCGTTCACAAAATTTCTATATAGTATATAGTGAAAAAATCAACAAAGGGCCATAATTCTGTTAAATTTGATAGCAGCAAAAATTCCTTCCTTTACTGCCATCTACACATTAAGGTTGTTCATCCCTGGAAGTTTAAGCAAAATCTGCCATCCGGTTTAAGAGGAGTTGAGTTCACAAGATTTCAGGACGTACAGACAGACGTACGGACGGACGGTTATCGGACAGACAAGTGCAACGCTATATGCTCCCACTCTGTGGGGGCATAAAAACGTAACTTTGAAATTTTTACTAAGATCATGTGAAGCTCATAAAATGGAAAATCTGCAGAGGAAAATAAAGAAATATACTCAGAATTAAATTTAAAATCAATAGTTAGTGCCATTCTGGGCCAGATTTAAGCAAAACGCATTGCAATGCTTCTCAGTTTTGGGGAAATTTTGTGCTATAAAAATGATTATTCTTGAAAAATGTGGGAAGTAAATTATCTTATATTTGCAGCAGTACACAAGTCTAAAAAAAACAACATTTCCAGTGCCATCATGTCAAAAACCCTCAGTGGAGTCCCTTTATGCTATCTTCTCACCGCCAATCAGATCAACTTGATCATCCCGATCACATTAATTCCCAGATGAAGCCCGACCAAGCTGGATTAAATGCACATTCACAACTCCTACACGACCTTAAGTCGACCCTTCATGATGTTTTACCACTTCTTCTCGACGACAACCGTACGAACATCCCGACTTCTTCTCGATCACCCAGACCTATACCCGAGTCATACATGATCTTAACTAGACTAACTGGACCTCGGCTCGATCATTGCCAGATTTCCACCCAACCAGATCGTAATGATCGTAATCGAGTCGTGAATAGTTGTGTATCGAATTGTTCAAACAATCCTGGTTCAAATCAGTTCATGATGGAGATTGAGCAGTTGCAGTCGTGGCCCAGATGGTCCTACTACTCGTACTGCATGTTGCCTTTTTGCCCTTTCTAGGCATTTTTGTTGTCAGAATTTGGAAGTTGCTCTATCTTCAAATCTGTAACAGCTAATGAGACACCAACAATAACTTTACATCTATATATTGTTTAGGTCACGTGAACTCGTGTATGGTCCATTAACTATCGGGAAGCGATCGTGTGTGGTCGTGTAGCGGTCGGGTAGTAGTCTAGTTATTCTGGACAATAGATTGAACAGATGTCGAATTGATCGGGTTGCAATCGGATAATGCACGAGTAGAAGTCAAGATGATCGTGTACAGATAATGTAAGAGATGTATACCCGATGTATACCCGACCAAACTAGATCGTTACACGATTTATTCTCGATCAACGAGATCTTCTACTCGATCACTATACGATTGCTTCTCGACCGCTTATCTACTCGATCGCTACTCGAATTTTTTTGACATGTCAAAAAAATTCGGGTAGGAAGCCCGAGCCATGCCGACCAAGGTAGACCTGTCTGACCACCCCTGATCACGCATGCAGACCGAGCTAGACCGGTACCAGATTGCTTGATCGTGCTTGATCAAGTTGATATGATAGGCGGTGAGAACATAGCAATAACTACCTAAGTGCTTTATCCTTTTTCCATCCTTTTAAGAAATGAGCATTAACTTTGACCATGAAAAATTGAAAAGCATGAACTTTGTTTTGTTTGTTTGTTTGTTTGATTTTACGCCTTTTCCCAACAGTATTTCAGTCATATAGGCGGGTAGTTTCCTAACCATCGTTCCTGGAGAGTTACACAAGTACTAGACTACCTTCCTCCGCGCTAAACTACCAAAGCAACTCCCGGGGATCGAACCCACGCCAGAGAGGTAACTGGATTAGAAGTCATCGACTCTAACCCCTGGACCACGGAGCTTTGACATTATACTCTGATCATGTAAGATTGAACAAATGAACTTTGACCTACTTTGACCATACAAGATTGGAGGTACAAACTTTAAAATACTTTGACCATGCCAGATTGAAATGCATCATGAACTGTAGCATTTTTTTTAGGCTGACATACCCTGGCCATACAAAATTGAAAACCACAATAATTTAACCATGCAAGATTGTTCAAAAACAATGAATCTTTAAACTTTAAACACACACAAAGGTTATTTATCAAATAGGAAAACTATTTCAAGGGTAAGAAGAGTTTTAATAACAAGAAGATAATTTGATTGTATAATTACTAAATACTTCAAAAGTTTGCAAAGAACGAAGAGTATCAGTACCAGCAGAAACATAAAACAATTTCTAAAATGCCAAAACACAAAACTCCAATCACCTGCAGACATACACCAGCAGAAAACATTCAATAATGACATCATATATCATTGTAGTTTGTTGTTTATTTTCCTGTTACTCAATTTACTAAAAGGTTTTCCATTATAACAGATATTTATTACTCCTTCACACCAATGTAAAAAGATAGAAAACTTTTTACCACAGTGAAAAGCTGCTCGATCATTTGCCCTTTTTAAACCTTTCAATGAAGCGTTTGGTATCAAAGAACCAGAAGTCTAATGTTTGGTACAAGATTGGGAAAATTTAATATAAATGAGAGACAATAAATCAATTTCATAACTTCTGATATTAAAGATGCAATAGATACTGACAGAATAAGTGATTTAGAAGCTTTTGCTCAGAGATTATATACCTTGTATTGTTCCAGACAATACTTTATTGTCAGTAAAAAGCAGGATTTCTCATATTTTTGTTTTTTGTACCATGATAAGAAATTTGCTTCCAGCTGACTAATTTATTCTCAGAAAGACAAACAAAAAATCTGATTTCCTAAACGTTTTTGTTAACTGATTTTTATTTTGTTGTTAAGTTCATATGTTATGTATTGGTCAATGAAGCTTGGTTACCAATCACTACATGCATTTAAAGCATATTTAACTATACAAGAAAATGCTTTGTATAAAAATGCTCCAGTTTAATTATGTTATAATTCATTACATTTTTAACATATTATATGGCTCGGTTTAAATGGTTATACAAGGGATAAGTAGCAAACAATGGTCTATATACACAACCACAGAACTTGTCCAAAATAAATTTACGTTTGGAAATATTAATCAATTAATAATTAACAGTAGCAGTAATTAAAGTATAGATTATATAAATGCTGTGCATCTCTCAACCCCAACCATTCATACTCCCATCCCCCCTTTCCATCCCAATCACCATTTCCTACTCGAGAGTAAAGAACGCCCATAGCGCATTTATTGGAAGAAATATGGATTCTTTATGTTTTGACATTAAATAATTAAATGTAATATTCTAATCTCAAAATGCCATTCAGTAAACATGGAATAAAGAATGCCTTGAATAACTGGCTCATTATTCCTCAATCACTTTGATTGCAGAGTAAACAGTTCCTGATTAAAGAATAAAATGTTGTTAGCCAATAATCAAACACAAGAAAAAAATTGATCGATGGTCATGTTTTATTCATAACGAACATGGTTCAATTGATTGTAACAGACTGAAAGAACTCTACCACAACCATAAAAGTTAAGCTCAATTACACTGTCAAATACAATCCATATAACTGGGTTTTCTTGTCCCAATTCTAAAGGAATGAAAGTAGATCTGAATAACCTATATTCTCTGGCATGAAACAAACCATTTTCAGGACATCAACATGTTTTTTATTAAAACATTACATATTCAGCAGGCAAATAATTTATCTTAAAATGTTCTAGTGAATTGGTGACATTATGTTTCTTGCTGTTCCAGAAAAAAAGCAAAGACCTCTATGACAGAACATTATCTAATATAACAGACAATTCCAAACCTACTTCATGATACAAATAGATTAGACACATAGATTATATACCGGGTCCATCAACAAAACATGATATAATATCATTCTGTTTATAAGGCAGTTAGAAAATATGCATTGTAAATTAGGAAAATTTTCTATTCATCTTATATTGGAATGAATATAGTCACGAGTTTTTCCCATTTCACTCTTCTCCGTTGGGCATTGCATGTTGATGGAATGTAAACTTTATAAGTTTGTTTCACATAACTTAATAACAAACATACCATATCTGTTACTTCTGCGTTGTTTTGTGTCTGTGAGTCTGTCACTTGTTCCTCTTGGTCGCCAGGGGTGACAGTAGCCTGGGGATTGGGGCCCCGTGCCACCACGATTTCCACAAGTCCCCCGGCACTCTGCAGTATCTTGATTGCCTGCTGATGTGAGATATCTAAGGGTTGTCCATCGATAGCAAGTATCTGATCTTGTTCTCGCAATCTCCCATGTCTGAAAAATACATGAAAAATGTCATTAGACAGCAACCATGATAAATATTTAAACACAATACTACCACAGAGGTATCAAACCTCTACAGACAGTACAAGTCCTACTGCTGCTGGCATACGTGTTATCATATCACATTCATTCTTAGTTATGTTCTTGTATTGTGTCATATTCTGACTTGATGTCAGAATTGTAGAACAATTTCAGCTTAAATTGGTATATTTTGCTGATATACAGGATTAGAGAATGATTTTTGCAATTTGAAGCCAGTGTGCAGTCTGGCAATTTGACCTTAGCAGATCTGAAAATAAAATGGATATAGATTTTTATTGAGAGGTATAACTAAGAAAATGCCAGTTTGACTACTACACAGTGAGTTTAGTACAAAAGAACCAACAAAAACTTCATGCAAAAACCAGGTCATCTTAATTATAATCTTTGTTAAGCCTCCATTACTTGTCACTGCTATTGACAACTTGTCTACTTTATAAGATGAACTAATGTTCAATATTTGCTGTGTGTTTTTTATTTCATACACTACTTCTCTTCTTTATTCAATGTAATCCACTTAACTAAAGCAAAGACATGATGACTCTAATTAATTGCCTTTAATGGACGACCATCCCAAATATGTTTGCAAATCACAGGACTTACTGAGATTACAAACAAAGAGAGAAAATTACTTTGTAAAACACAGGATCTAATTCATGAATGTCATTAAATTGATATTTTCTTTTCCTATTCATTGCTCTTCTATAAAAATCAAACTTTAAGACAAAAGAATTTGTAAAAACAAAGCAAGCTCAATTTTAAATAATATGTCAAATGTAACATAAAACTGAGCAAATATGCTCATCACCTTTATATCAGATAATCTGTTCGACCATCACCATGTATGGTAGTATACTTCAAGCTTTGAGAGGTGGGGGACAGACAGACAGACTATAAATAATCATACAATATTATGCCAAACTGAAGAAAAGTGGTTTTGGTAGGGCCTCCTGCAAGAATTCTTACCAAATGTTCCACAAACATTAGCTGACTGTCATTTTAAGTAAATTAGATATCAGTTAACATATGAAAGTGATTTGTCTTGTCTTATAGACCATACAGTAATACCACATCTATCTAGTTTGCAAACAGAATCCTTGCCAAGATAGACAATTAAATAAACAAGTGTTTTGTTGTAGGAATACTTCCAATAAACGTCTTGTCCATAAGGCAATTAGACTCCTACAAAAGCTGGTGTTGACCGAGACAGTTCTGGTAACACAGAACACACCATATTGGGAGTATCCTATATCTATAGCTATCATACCATATTTCTCCTAATTATCAAACCTTGTTTGTAATATTTTTACTTTCAAAATCATGATAAAGAAGCTGATTATGTAATACACTTGAAAATTACTACATAACTATAGTACTACATGAAAATTTTATGCTCATGTATAATACTGCTTGAAAATTACTACATTACTACAGCAATGCTTGAACATGGTTACATAATTATAGAACTGTTTGAAAATTACTACAAAATTTAAGTACTGTTTGATTATTACAACCTAACTTCAGCAGAATTATGCTTGAATACATAAAAGCACTATCACTTGTAATTTGAAGTCAATAAATTTACAAGTATATATAAACACTGTTGAACTTCATGACTTAACGATTGACTAATAAACTAATGACTTAGTTCTACAAGGTCTTTGAATTACCATCAACTTTCAGTTATCAGTGTCATTCCTTCTCTGAGTACAATGACTTACAAAAACCTCTCATAGACAAGCATGATTCATGAGCAAACACAGGCCAGAATTTGTTGTTCATCCATATTTCAAATGCTTCACTGCAACATGTCAAAGAGCTGGCACAATGCTTCACCAGTTTCCAACTTTGCTGCCAAAAACTACAGCAATAAACAGACAGTCTTCATTGCTAATTACTCCTAGAGTGTTTTGAAAAAGAATTACATCATAAGTTTTAAGATATAGCAAGATCTATCATATCTCTTTTGTTATTTTTATCACCCAGACATAATAAAATGTGCTATTATTGCAAATGGTTTAACCCTATTAAATAAATTGTTTTATCAATTCAAGGATGTAACTCAGCTTATCAATATAGCTGTATCAAACCTTCATCTCGATTTACTTTATTCAAAACGTCTCAAAACCGCACCAAGGGAGTATAACATTATAACATTTCAGGTGCAACAATTAAAATACCAATTATAAAAGACTGAGACAAAGACAAAACTTGAGATATAACTTTTGAAGGATGCTATACAAAAAGTATGTTAATAATCAAACCAGCCACTCAGATTTTTATCTCTGGTTGCCCAAAAACTAAGTCAAGGACCTTCACTTAACCCTTAGTCTGCCTTATTTCAGTAAATCGACATGTCCAGCTTCCATTTATCAATTCAGGGGATATGAAGATGAAATTATGTATAGTTAGTCAGCAAAGAGTATACAGCACCAAAGTGCAGACTGGCTTAGTTGTGTTCATTGAACGCCACCTTTCCTTGTTGAATAAGTGTCTATCATATTTTTCTGCTTTATATTGGTGGCAAAGGCTTATCTATATTAGGCTAAGGATTATAGACCATAATGATCATTATTATATGCATGGCACCATATTGGTAACTTCTCAAATAATGCTATTACAATGGCAAACAACCTTGAATGTGGCACGATGTATATTTGTACTAAGAATAGGTATACAAAATAACTGTTAAAATACTGCGACAGTGGCTTCAGTATTCCATATTACCAGCATTAGTTAATATTTGCCAATTTATTAGATTTTATAATCCTTAAAATAATTTCTATTTCTTTTTTGCTTGACCATTAAACAGTTCAAAGCCCATAACAGAAACAAGAAATTCTAAAAAATTAACATGCAAATCTGACTGGAAGTTGCTCTGTGGTCTAAAGATCTCTGATTCTATAATAAATTGTGATACCTCTCTTTCTTTGATGCTTTTAGTGTGGATAATTTGTTTAAATGTTTCTTGTCATTCAAGGCAATATCAATTGACTCACATAACCATGACTCTGGAAGTTGATTTGGAAAACATTACTATAATTAACAAAAATACTGTTAAACTGGGAATAAACTTCCAATAAATCAAACAAAACAGCTCAAATATGATGAACTATATAGTATAAAATGAATAATTCATTAGTTTTATCCTATTTGTCATTCATATTGATTTAAAGAGGACATTGTCTATTACATCATAACTGACTGGTGTTAGTGATTACAAATTTTAAAAACCTTGAAGTTGCACGCCTCCACAACAGTTAAACAAAATTTTTTAAAAAAGCAAAGTTATAAAAAAAATATATATGAGCTGCTTCATGACAAAACCAACATAATGGGTCACAAACCCATAATGTTGGTTTTGTCGTGACACGGCTCATTTATAAAATATTTTTAGTTTCTGAAATGCAGAAATATGCACACAATCTAGGTGAAACTTTGGATATTTCATATAGAATTTGACATAACTGACTATAAACAATAAAGTAAAATAATGTATGCATATTTTAAGAAGTTGTGGACTGTGAGATAAATAGTCAGGCTTGGTTAAATCACTTAATGTGTGCATTTGACATCATTTTAACTCATTAGAACAATTACTGAGTTCTCATTAAAATCTGGCAACATGCTGCTTTATGAATACTATAAGCCATCTCTTTTTTTGGTTCACATAATTGGGGTTTATAATGGTCCTTTAATATAGGTTTAATATTATTATTTCTTTTGTTTATTCTTATACTGTCACATTTCGGTCACAGTTTTTTCACAAAAAATAATAACAGAAATAACAGAAACAACAGCTACTTGATGTTGGCGTTATACTATAGGCGCATCAATGAAAACTGGTTCTTTCTCACTACAAATTAACGGTCTTAAGTTTTGGTATATGATAAATAGAATATTAAATTTGTATAAGTTCATTACTGAATTTATTTAACTCGTTGAATAAGATAATATTATACTCGCCAGAGGCTTGCATTATACAATTTTATTCAACTCGTTCAATAAATTCAGTATTGAACTTACACTCATTCAGTATCCTTTATTTAACAGTCAAGGTCATTAAAAGGTCAAGGTCACACCTGAATTACTAGTAATCATTATCTCTGAGTTTTGTTATAAATGTTTTTTTTGTTCAAGAATGTATCAAATCTTAAAATACTATATCTATAACACTATGAGTTATGACAGGTTAAGCAAATATCAATAATTTGACCTTGAGGGATAGGTCATTCAAAAGGTCAAAGTCATTTTAGAATAATTCAACATGTAAGTTTTGTCACATGTGTTCTTTTGTCTAAGTAAAAATCAAATATATAAATGAATAACAAAATAATGAAAATTTAAGCAAATTTTAACAATTTAACCTTAATAGTCAAGGTCAAATAGTCAAGGTCATATTTCTTTTATGAAATCTGGCTAAAAATGAAAGAGAATGTTTCATCATTACTTGAGAAACCTACAACCTTAATTTTGTAACTGAAACTTCTACACCTTGTCACTGAGGCTAGTAAGGCAAATGTTATGCTGATTATTCCATATTTTATAAGCATCATAGTTTACTTTGGAATTAGACAAGTACAGCAAAAAGTTCATAGAATATTCAAATATCTCAGGTAAATATTCCTAAACAATAGTAACAAATACTGCATCATATCTACCACAGTGCATATCAGAAGCTTATTACCACCATGTACATGCATCATGCAACTAACACCATGCAGCAAGCACATAATATACAACTGAAGGTGTATAATGCCTGTATCACACGGAATGTAATAATTTACTTCAAACGTTTACAGCTGTCACCAGAAAACCTAACCATCCAACAAAAATCACACAATGCTTTATCTATAACATTTTGATCAAACTGACAATAGAAAATAGATTCTGCTGGAATATGTCTATTGATCATTGTCTACCACAGGTTATAACAAACAGATGTCCTCAAT